GTGCGCCCCGGCGCGGGACGCGCACCCAGGCCCATGCTCAGTTACGGCAATTACGGCACCTGCTCCGCCACCAGCCCGTCCCCGCGTCCGGCCGACGTCGTTAGCCATTCCTAATGGTTTCTGCAAAGAATTAGAAAGTGATTTTGTGGAGGCTGTTCCCGGGGCGCAGTGAGCTGAGCGATGGGGGACGGTGCTGCCACCGCTGCCCGGGGGCCTGGCGTCCACCTGGCACTGCCTCCTGCCCCCTTGGTCCTGCCGGGAGCAGAGCTTCTCCTGCTCTGGCCCCCGCCTCCCCCCAGCCCTGCAGGGCCACCAGGGATGGGGACGGGCTAGGGGGTGGCCGGGTGCCCCCCATCAGCCTGAGCCCTGAGGGGGTCCCGGCACAGCCCTGTGCCAAGGGGAGGTGGTGGTGGCACAACCAAGTGGCCCCATCCCTGGTTGGGCTGTGGGGCCCTGTCCCCCATGGCAGCCACATGGCCCTGTCCCCAGGGTCCATGTGCCCCTGTCCCTGATGCAGCTCAGTGTCCCATCTCCGGTGGAGCTGTGTCCCATCCCTGGTGCAGCCATGTGTCCCTGTTCCCAGGGCCACTGTGTGTCCCCATCCCTGGTGCAGCCACATGTCCCCATCCCTGGTGCATCCATGTGTCCCTGGTGCATCCATGTGTCCCATCCCTGGTGCAGCCGCGTGTCCCTGTCCCTGGTGCATCCATGTGTCCCATCCCTGGTGCAGCCATGTGTCCCTGTCCCTGGCGCATCTGTCTGTCCCCGTCCCCAGTGCATCTGTGTGTCCCATCCCCGGTGCATCCATGTATCCCATCTCTGGTGCAGCTGCATGTCCCTGTCCCCGGTGCAGCCACATGTCCCATCCCTGCTCCAGCCACATGTCCCCATCCCCGTTGCATCCGCATGCCCCATCCCCGGTGTGTGATGCCGGGCTCTCCCCACCGCCGTGCCAGGCAGGTTTCCCCACGCAGGTGACTGGCAGCCGGGGCCGGTTGGGTGCAGATAGGCAGGGAGATTACACGGAACTAATTAAAAACCCGTATTTAAAA